AACAAATACGTTTACAACGTGATGAAGATGAACGACGTCAATATGAACAACAAGAATTACGTAAAAAACAAGAATTAAATAATAATAATAATAATAATAGGCAAATGATTTTTGAACAATTAACAAAACCAATTGATAATAAAAAATCATCAACTATAGATATAGATCCATTTTTAGTACTTCAACAATCAATACAATATCAAAAAGAACAACAAGCTAAAATTGAAGCACAACAGTAATTAATTCAATTAATCATATATATTGAATTTGTTTTTGATTTTCATAGAGCGGAAAATATTCGTCGATATCAAGAAAAATATCGTGAACAACCTCAACAACAACAACCAATATATAAATTATCTGAAACAACAAATTGGACTCGACATCCATCTCAGACTAATGATTTAACACAAACATTTAATTTTGTTGATATTCAAAAACAAGAAGAGGAAAGACGTTCGAGAGAAGCAGCTGCTTTTGCTCATCAATACGTATGTCAAAAGCTAAAGCAAAAAAAAATTTGATATTTATTTTTAATGACTATGTCTATACCATTTTATGATATTTTGTTTTTTAAATTAAAAATTATACTCCAATTCGATACTTTGTTCTTTTTTCGTTATCGAACTAACATAAACATAGTATAAAGAAAAGAAAAAAGTTTTCAATTGAGGATACCTAAATAAATTTCTTGTGATGACTACTAATAATGAAGTCTTATAGTGAGATTTGAAAGAATGTAATGTAACTTATCATTTGTAGCTATAATGGATCCATAGGAAGGTCTTAATACGATTAGAAAAAGTATTCGTGTCTGTAGGCCTTTGGAGATGAATTATGGCCGTTTTACTGAATTTTCGGTATAGTTAAATAATGGAATTTCAGCCGAAAAGAATATTCCTTTGTTAGGATATTGAATTTGAATAAAATAGTCATTTGCAATAAAAATCGAGTTTACTTGAAAATTCAATACTTTAACAAAGGAACATTCTATTTATTTTTGCTGTTGACACTTTCAGAATATTCTAATGATCATTAGATATATCTATGGATAAAATTCCAAGTCGAAATTCTTTCATCGGATTTTCCAGTAAATACTGAAAATTCAGTAAAACGGTCATAACTTCACTTCAAAGGCCTATGGGATATGAGCCTCTTAAGTATTTTTTCTAGTCTCTCCGAGACATCCTTATAGGTCCAATATGATCTCAAGCGGCAGGCTACAGTTGGAGAAGTTATTGGAAGCCGTGAGGATCTATATATATTTTACTGAAGCTATCGATGATATTCCGAGAGGATATCTGCAGTATCTCTCTATACCGTTTCGGCGATAAGGTACATAGTCGTCACATCCAGTTTAGCCGAAACATTAAGACGTCATATTTCGTTTTCATTCATTTGTGAAAGATATAAATAAATAGTTGAATCAAACTACGTTTACTAAAAAACAAAAAAGAACAGATTCAATTTTTACATTTAAAAAAATAAAAATTTACTGTTTTCAAACAATTTTGTTTGATTCGAAGTTTATTTATAACTTTGTTTTTCCTAATTAATTTCTATTTAATTAGGGTAAATCTCAGACTTTACCTATACAAAATTCCGCTTCATTATCATCGACCAATAAATCGGGTTCATGGGCTCAAACATTATTTGCCGGTAGCAATAGTGGTAATAGTAATGTTCCATCGACATCAAGTCATATATTGTCTGATCATAATACAAATGAGAATACATTAACTGATGCATCATCTATAGCATCTTATAATCAACAGGCAACAAATGCGGTACTATCTCTTTTAAATATTCATGTATGTTGTATTGTGATTAATTCATGTTTTGCTTATCTAACGTATTAATCTATAATATGTATATTAGAATAAAGAAAAATATTTTTTTTTTTTGTGAAGTGTATTTATATAACGTTTTGTTTTTTGTTTATAGCCTAAATCTCGATCGGCAACTAATCAACAATCAATATCATGGAATGGACCTAGTAACGTATCTAATACATCACTTCAAGATATTCAAAGACAACAACAACAAACACAAGTAAGAAAAACATTTTTATAGATGATATTGTCTTATTTTTGATTCATTCTAGAACGAACCCATACAACAACAATCACATCAGATTACATCAACAACAACACCACCTGTATGGACTGGTAATATTCCATCTCAACAATCATCACCAGCATTCTTATGGGCTAATCAAAATTCTTCATCATCAAATAAACCTATAACAACAAATACCAATAAACCATCGTATGTATCAACTATTCTGTAGAAGTATCAAGTTTATTAATGCAACAGATGTTGTTGTTATTATTATTATTTTTGTTTTTGCATTTCAATATTATGACATAATTTAATAGACAAGATATTGAATTATATATATATAAATATATAATGAACTCTGTCTTGATTAATTTATGTAAATAAAATATTCTAAGTTTTGATAAAACTCTTCGAACCGTTTGAATTAGAGTTGTATCAAGGATTTTATTAATACTATTTCAAATAAAGATTGATTAACATATTATTTTGAATAAGTTAATACTTTAATTCTTTTCTTGATATTTATGATTGTAAACTCGATATTTTTTTTCTATTACAGACAATCAGAAAAAACCGATTAATATTAAATATTGTAGTGTGATCAGTAGATGCTGTTTATCAATGGAGTATGGCCCCTATTTCTTTAGTTAAAATGGCTATGAAATTGGAAATTTTTCGAATTAAAAAACAAAAATTCAACTTTACTGATTTTCATCAATAATCATCTTAGATTTTTACAAGATGGTCCATAGATAATTAGACAATAAAAAAAAACTTCAATCTCTCAAGTTTGCTATAATCAATCGGATTAATCTTTTTTTTTTTTTATAAGGAAACTGTCAAATAGATACTGCGTAGGAGGACTAGCACTATTGATCAAAAGTATCTCAGCCATTCTTAGGGTTAGACATGTGAAATGTTTGGGATACCCAGAAGTTCATCATTAGGACTTTCGGCAATAATGGATAAAGAGCGGAAGTCCTAAATTTTTAGCGTATATTTTATCTTAGAAATATAGGTCAGTGAGATGAGTCCGATCTCGTTCGCTTGAGTTGAAGAGAAGTTGTACTATTTTACTGATGTCAATTTGTAGAGATTGGGTGTGGAGTGGGAGTGATGGTATAGGTATGTGGGTCGGAGTGTAGATGAAGTTTATGGGTGTGTGGATGGGTGTTTCCCTCAAACTTACAGTGCTCAGAGCTTTTGTATATAGGCTAATGCAACCTTTGATTATCATACATTTACTCTTGAATGCAATATTAGTCCGAATGACTATTATATCAACTAATAACTAAACAAGCTCTATAAATTTGCCTCACTAAAATTTTAAAAGCAACTTATTGATTCTTTGCCTTCCCTCATTAAATTATAGAACTCATTATGAGACGAGCTATCATAACTCAAGCAATCGAAAGCAGGCTGGTTTCGTTGATTTACATTTCTAAAGCAGCACATATGCTAAAAATTTTTAGATGTGTAACCTTAACAACAGCTGAGATCATAGGGAAGTAGGATGCTGCGGGTTCCTCCGGACCCGATTACGCGTTTTTGTGGACTTACAGCTGTCTACAGGAGAGTACCTTCGATCAGTAGTGTAATTCAAAACAGTATCAATTTCCAATTTCCTTATGGATAGAAGCTTTGAAAAAGTTCTCTATCGTTGAAAAAAAAAGATCAGTTCGGTTGATTAAAGCAGATTGGATATATTAAATGATGTTATTGCCTAGTTATTTATGGGTCAACTTTATATATGAATTTGATTATATTGCTTTTTAAATTAAATATAGAACCCCATGGACTGAATTAAAATCCACATCATCACCACCGTCAACAACAATACCATCTGGAAATATAAATCTACCTAATGATGAAACAATAAAAAATGAACATGAAGCAAAATCTATATTTAACACAACACGTACACAAGATGCTCTATCAAAATGGACTCATACTCAATTTAAAGATAGTTTAAAAGATGTTGATGGTAGATAAAAAAAAAAAAAAAAATTCTTTTTTTTTCTAAAATACTTTTCTTCATTATTCAAGTGCCAACACTTGTTCAATTATTAAAAGATATTGATAATGCTGGTGAAATTGTTGAATATGTACAACCATATATAGGAACAGTTAGTAAAGCTAAAGAATTTGCCAATGATTTTCTTTTAAAACGAAATCAATTAGCTAATGCTGAGGTTGATGAATATTTTTATAAAACAATAAAAAAAAAAAAATTTTTTTTTTTTTTTTTTTTTTCAAATTTAGCCTGATTTGGATAATGAACGTTTAAATGAATTAGTTATGGCACCAACATCTTCTAATGATAATAGTTATAGTGGTGGTGATGAAGGTTTTCAATTAGCATCAAGTAATGGACAAAAGAAAAAAGCAAAAAAAATGAAAGGTCAAAAAATCGATGGTAAACAACTTGGTTTTATGGTTAATAATCGACCTGAACAACGAGATGATATTGATCAAGTACCAATATAAAAGAAAAGAAAAAAAGAAGACATTATAAAATTTATCTCTTATTTTCACTATGTGTATATATTTTATATCTTTTATCTCTCTTGTCATTTTCGAACGTATGGTTTTTTTTTGTTAAAAACCCATTGATAATATGTGCGGTTTCCTATGAGCTTTTTAAAAGTGTATACAGTTTTTTTGTCTGATTATACATCACTTTTATTACCTAGTTATAATCGTTGAAAACCTGTTTATTGAGTCATTTGTTTTGTTTTGTTTTTTCTTTGTTGTCTGATGTTGTTGGTTTTCATTAACGATTCTTTATTCTATTATTAATATTTATTAAAAAAAAAAAAACCTAAAATTCGGACAGACAGAGAGAGATAAAATGAAAATGATTATATTTTGATTTGTTTTGTTTTCTTTGTCGAATTGTTTTGTAGGTAAGTTTATGAAATGTATAACATTTTTAGATTATGGCTGACTTAGATGATGAACGACTCTTACAAGATCCTGGCTCGGTGCGTTTTCAAATTTCATAAAAATTATCTTTTGTTTAATAAAATAAGAATTTAACAGATCTATTTTAAGTTTAATATCTGAAAAAATATTTTCACATGTATAGTCAATACATTTCAAATTTTCGTGAAGAAAAAAAAAACTTAAATCAATGAATTTTGACTTATCTGTATTCATTACAAACATTTTCGTATAAGTCTAAAATATTTTTCATTGTTTGAAAATTTACACAAATTATGATGAAGATGTGCACGAGTTATCCTACACATTTGTAACATGAATATATTTATCATTTTTAGAGTCTTCCCATTAGGATAGGATTAAGGGAGAGGGAGATATAAAAACTTTGTAGGATAAAGTTAAGCATGGGATAAGGATTAGAAAATTTTCCTCAACTAGATTGTAAGATAGGAAAAAAAAGAATATTTATTTTGGAATAGATCATTTAATAAGAATTTTTAAATATTCAATTTTTGTTTTTCTTTAGAGATTAAAAGTAGCACTTCATGCAGCATGTGGTAAAATTTGTGAACAATTACAAATACAATCAAATGTTACTGTAGATAAACAAGTTGTAAATGCTATTGGTGATATAACATTTCAACAAATAGAAACATTTTGTCAAGATCTTGATGTATTTTCAAAGTAAAATAGTTTCATCTTTTTAATTAAGATATTCATTTATTTAGACATGGTAAACGAACGACAATTAATGTCGATGATGTACGCCTTCTTTGTCGACGTAATCCAGGTCTTCTTGATAAAATTGATGATTTTCAACGTTCATTAAAACCATTAAAAACAACAAGTCGATCAACAACTAGTCGAAATAATATATCATCTCGATATGATGATCATAATGTTGATATAACTGTCGTTGAATCATCATCAGATATGGATGATATAAATTGATAGATGAAATGTTAAAAACTATATCCAATCGTTGTCATTTTTGTTAAATAAAACATATCGTTATGGTTCATCTTTAAGTTCATTTTGATGAATAGAAAGATAAATTTGAAAGAAAATGTTTCTTTTTTTCTTTTTTTTTTTTTTGAAAAAACGTTTGATATATTATAAAGATAAGTTCAATAGACATTATTAGTTTTATGATGAATGTTCATTGAGTTATTTTATTTTTTTTGTAGTCAATATTTATGAATTCTTTTGAATATATTAAACTATTTTGTATAACTATGAATTCAAAAATATCAAATAGCTTTTAATAATTTTTGTTAGATTTTTGTTGAAAATTTCAATATTTATAATAAACTCTCTTAGTTCATTATCCCTCTTAGATAAAGATCTCTTATGTCAATACTTCACACATGAAAAAAAAAGAACGCCTAATCCATCACTTTAACAATATCGATTATTTTCTTTTTGTCTATTCATAACACAATCATAGAAATATTTCTCTCTTTTGTCTACAAGAAAAAAAAAAATATTTCAATATTCAAAGATAATAATAAATATTATAAGCAACTTTTAAACAAATTTTTTTCTTTTTAATTGTTTCTAATATATTTCAATGATTACACAAGAGCGAATAATAATGTACAAGAACGAGTCATCTCGTCTGTCAAAATCATATAATGTATTCATACAGGAAATTCAACGTTTATTTAAAGTGAGATGCCTGCAAGGCGTTTAATGCATCTATCGACATTATTAAAAAAAAAGAAAAGACTAGTAGAGACGTGTCTTTATTGCCAATAGCATTATAGACAATGGACAGTTGTTTATGCCTTTCATGTATTTTTACAATACCAACAGAATCATTGATAATAATCTATCGTCATCACTCGTATAGCTATATGATTAATAATGTCCTTGTTAGTGATAGTAAAATATAACTACAAAAAGATATAATAAAAATTACATGAAAGGAAAAAAAACACAGCTGTTGTACGGCGATATTATCACAATGATGTTCGATTCTAAGGTTAACTAATTGAGATTTATTGATAATGAAAAAAAGAAAAGGAAGGAACAGAAATAGTCGTTAACAAAATTTATTTACTGTAGATTGACTTTGATATATATATATATATTGATTGATTCCTTTTCTTGATTTTCGGATTTAAGAACAATTATCAAATAGAATGTTGATTATGTGTGAAATCTAATTCTTCCACTTCAAAATTAAGTGACTCTTATGATTTTCAATTTTTGAGCTACATAAGTTGTCATAATAAGAGAGAAATTGTTGAAGTACGTATTTATGGATTAGATGAGTTCTTTATTTTTTTTTCTTCGTTCATTGTTACCTGTCGAATGATGAAGAAAAAAAACCTAACTTTATGACAGCATTCATTTTTATACCTTACAAACAATATAAGTCATTCCCTTAAGATTAACACGCAAAAAAAAAAGAAAAAGAAACGAGTTGGATCACTTCAATCTATTCTATAATCCTTTTGTCTTTCATTTTCTCTCTTAGTTAGTCTGTACATACAGGTGAAAGGCAGAACATGCGAGATTTTCTTTCACTCACTCTCTCTCTTTAAACATTAAGTAGACTAACTCTCGTGCTGCACGAAAGAACAGGAAACACTAGACGTATGTATTGATGAATAGTAGGTGGTCGTCCATTAGGATGAGTAGCTCTCGGGGTCATTTGAGTGGGCACCGTCAACACTATTCTATTCTCTTATTCAACACTACTTGAGAGTCTAGCCATCATCACCATCGTTTTGCTTTTCGCCTCCCTATTTCTCTCATATGTCTAGATCGTTCTTTTTATTTCTTCAATCATTCTAATCGTCACCTCAGTTGTTGTTGTTATTTTTTGATATACTTCATCGAACTGTGTTAGTTTTATGTTAATCGAACATTGAATATAAAGATCATCTACTCATTCATTGTCTCTCTTTCTCTCTTTCATCTATTAAATGACAATCTACAGTTTATATTTAAAGTAAGATACACTTTGACCGTTATCAACCTCGTTTTTTTGTTCTTCTCTTCACGCCTTGTTACTGTAGTAAATGATGAGTTCAAATTATATGTCGATGAAATTAGTTGGATAGACACAAAAAAAAAAAAAAAGAAAGAAATTTGGTCACTAACAAAAAATAAAAAACAAACAACTATAAATCTAATACATATAGATCGATAATGTAATGTAAGATTTGCATATATTTTTATACATTTACTTTCATTGAACAGAAGTTAAACTATAATAGATTGAATGCTGTTAGATAGGTCTTGATATAAGAAGGAAAAAATAAATAAATGTTACATATTAATCGAGAATATAATATTCATTAACTTTTAAAGGACAAGATAAATAAAAAGTTTTCACATCATTACAGCTAAGAATTGATTTCAGACATGAGTGAATAGCTCGTCTAATTACTTTTCTTTTTGTATGTAGTTCAACTTTTAAAAGAAATCAATTTTCTCTTCTTTTTCTATTCTTTATGATTGCGTTTGTGTATGTGTGTACTCTCACGGGCTTCGCGCGTGCGTGTATGTTACTGCTCATTTTCTTTCTTTTTTTTTTTTTTTTGTACGAGCGAACGTCTTCTGACCTCCTCTCATCTCTCTATATAGAAGAAGTGTATACGCACGTCATCACCACGCTTCTCTTTGTATGATTATATAATCTCGATCTTTCTTGTACTCTTGGTTGGTTACTGTTGTCTTCAATGGATGAATATCTAAATCGGACTAGTGAGTTTGAGTCAGTCATGTTCTTTTTTTTTTTTATCTTTGTAACATGTTGAGATTCTTTGTTTATTTGAACATTTTGTTTAGAATATGTCAGACAGACACCAACTGAGTATCTAATTAGTCTTCGTATACTGAATTCTTCTTGAATTGTTTTATAGTTTATTAGAAAATAGAGTGAATATCCTTGTCACATTATTAATTCCCAAAAGAGTTATTTCTGTTCTTATTATTATTATATGTTGTTAGTACTTTTTTCTTTTTTCTTATCTTCTCGTTCTATTTCTTTCTTCTTTTTTTTTTTTTTTTTGGTACTCGTTTATTATTGGGAAGATGCCATTTTAGTAGAAGATGCATGCGTTCATGCATGTGGATCTATCGTCTTTATTGATCTTAACATGATGAGAAGAAGATAATTATTCAAGTATATGTAAGTAAAATAGATGATAGTAAAGAAGAATTTCTATCTATGTTCATATAAATATATAAAAGGATGAAGAAAGAATGACCTTGTTCTGTTTCTTTAAGTATATGTAAAATAAAAATAAAATCAAATACATTCGAATTTTCGTTATTTTATGCATCAAGAATGTCTTTTTCCGTTCCCATGTTCATTATTTATATAATTTTAGCATGTCTAAGGTATCTCGTAATCTAATTGGTGACATGTCCATTTCTTTTTTCCGCTGTGTCAAATTGAACATAGTGACAGTTCATTTATCCAGCTGTTGCAGAAAAGAGAAATTTTTTTTTTCTTTTTTTTTTGTTTCTAGTCTTCTAGATCATTATTTTCTTTCTCTCGCTGGTCACCTTCGCGTTTATATATATATATATACATTCGCACATTTAATATACAAGAATAACATGCATAAAAAAATTGAACAATTATTTATTCTTCTTCTACTTTTAATAATAAAAATTATTTCAATAAAAAGTCAACAACAACAACAACAATGTCAAGCAATAACTTATTATGAATGTAAAAATATTGGATATAATCAAACATATCTACCTAATAAATTTAATCATCAAGATCAAAAAGATGTTGCACTTGTGGTAAGAATAAAAAAAAGAAAAACTTATTTCTTTCAATAGCAGATGTTCTTCTTTTTAATTATTTTGATTTAATATCAAGGTTAAAATATATTGATAATAATTATTCATGTCATTTAGACAGAGAGATAAGAATGTTTTACATATATACACTCCTACAATGTGTTAATCGATCTCTTATAGATAGGTGTAAAACATAAATGAATATTTGTTATTCTATTGTACCCTAGCGGCGAAGTCTTCATTTGACATTTATCTGACCTTATAAATGATCTGACAAATAAACAAATGTATATTATGATATCATTAGGACTACAGCAAATGATTGTGTCAATAAAAAAGAAGAAGAAGAAAAAAAAACGAGTTGTTGTTGTTGTTGTATCAATTGTTGAAAGGCTTCCGTAAAGAAATAGTTCAAATATTAGTTCATAAAGGTTTAATGAATGAGTTCAAAATAACTGAACGTGTCAAATAAAATGAATTTCTTCTCTAATCTAACAAAAAAAAAACACATTGTTAATTTAGATCAATCAATTTACAGCTTTAATTGCTGTTGGATGTTCATCTGAACTTCGTTTTTTACTTTGTTCAATTTATATGCCATTATGTTTACCAAATTATTCAGAAACAATATTACCATGTCGCGAAGTAAAAGAAAAATTAATTTCTTTAGATTTTTTCATAAATGAATATTTATTAGGTTTGTGAACGTGTTCGTACACCATGTGAATCATATTATAAACGATATGGTTTTCTATGGCCTGATGCATTAAAATGTGAACAATATCCATCAAGTTATGAAAATCCAATTTGTATGGATCCAAAAAAAAATGAAATTTCATCAAAATCTATATCAAAATCTCGTTCTATATCTCAAACATCATGTTGTCAATGTAATACATCATTAGGTTATCATAATAATAATAATAATAATGAATTAAGAAGTAAATGTATTCCACCATGTTATTCACCATATTTTTCTGATGAACAATCAAAATCAATAATGAATAAATGGTTAATTTTTTTAAGTTTATTATGTGCAATATCATGTGCATTTGTTTTATTAACATTTGTTATTGATATAACAAGATTTAAATATCCACAACGGCCAATTATATTTTTGGCTTTATGTTATTTTTTTATTTCATGTGGTTATTTAGTACGTTTAGGTTTAGGACATGAAAATGTTGCATGTCGATTCGATAATGAGGTAAATAACATTTCTAAATGAACACTTTGTATGATAGAACTAGATGTAGATTCATATTGAAATCATTTGAGTTGGGACTATATGTATTATGAAATAAGAATTGTAATAGTTTAACTTATAAGAATATCAAATCTATTGTAATAATAAACTAAGAACACGAACTCTTTTATATTCGAATTGAAAATTTTAGACTAAATAGTTTCTTTTATTTTTTAGCTTAATCCACCATCTTATGTTCAACTTGTTCGTGTATCTGGTCCTTCAAATTGTGCATTTGTTTTTGTTTTAATATATTTTTTTGGTATGGCTTCATCAATTTGGTGGGTTATATTAACATTAACATGGTTTCTTGCTGCTGGCTTTAAATGGTCATCAGAAGCTGTTGCTCATTATTCACTTTATTATCATCTTATTGCATGGCTTTTACCATGTTTACAAACAATAACAATTCTTATATTAAATGGTATTGATGGTGATCCAATAAGTGGTATATGTTATGTTGGACATACAGATTCAACAATGTTACGTCGTTTTGTTATTATACCATTAATAACATTTTTAACAATTGGTACAATATTTCTATTATGTGGTTTAATTAGTTTAATGCGTATAAGAAATGTTATGAAAATACAAGATCGAACAAAAATAAATAAATTAGAAAAATTAATGGTTCGTATTGGACTTTATTCAATTCTTTATACTGTACCAGCAACATTTGTAAGTATATCAAAATAAATAGAAATATTAGAAATTGACTTTTTTTGTTTTAGGTTATTGGTATTTATTTTTATGAACTACGTTATCGTAAAATATGGGAAGAAAATCTTTATTGTCAAAATTGTCCTAATCAATCTTATTCTACATGGATTATGCAACCAAATTTTACAATTTATATGGCAAAATATTTTTTCTTATTAATTGTTGGTATAACAACAGGTTTATGGATTAATTTAAATAGTAAAACATTAATAACATGGAAAAATTTTTTTTGTCATTGTTTATGTTGTAAAACTATTGATGAAAATCATGGATATCATTATAGTAATTGTCATGGACGAGATGCTTATGGAATAAATTATTCATATAAACATACAAAAATTAATGGAAGTAAATATTCACTTCCATCATCTAAACAATTACCTTTAGTACATGTATAAATTGTACAAAAAAAAAAAAAAAAAAATTTTTTTCTTTTTTGTTCCTCATTCCATTGTATCTACAATGTGTTTGTTTTTTTTTTTTTTTTTGTTGTTGTTGTGCATTTATTATATTCGTATTGACAACCCTAGCTTAATCATATCTGTGTGTGTGTGTGTGTTTTTTATTTTTGTAATAGAAAAGAAAAAGATTGATGTCATTTTGTTAACAAAAAAAAAAAAAAAGTTTTTTTTTTTTTCATAGGTAGAAAACAAAGATGATCTTTAGAAGTATTATGTTTATATAATGAACAACTGTCGTTGATTGACAGTAACTATTGGTTTATATTATAGACATTTTTTATGTTGAACAGTGATAGCCAATTAAGAGGAAAGATATGACACAATTTCATAGATAGCAATTGACTTGATAGAATGATGTATGTCGTTATTTGATGATGTGACAATCAAATTTGTATTTGACACGATAACAATTCAATTGGAAATATTTTAATATGACAGAAAGGGTATTGCATATTATCTATTTACTCGACCAATATGAATATATCTGCTACGATGAATTTTTTTTTTAATGTTATGTAACTTTTCATTCCGTACAAAATGATTGACAAAAAAAAAAGTTTTCACCACCCAGCGTCCTGACAGGAGTACGGAAATTTTGAAAAAAAAAATTTTTTTTTTTTTTTGTGATATCGAACGATGATCATCAAGATAGATAGAGCTTGGGTCGTTGATCATAGGCATATGATATAAATTCATTATTAATTGTGATTTAACGTTATACGGAACAATTTTCTGGCGGAACATTTGAAGGTTCATGACAAGTATATGGCCCCGAGAGATCAAACCATATGCCATTTAATTATGATGCATAATAGACTTTCATCATATGTCTGTGATCAGTGTCCCAAGTCCTACCTATCCTGACGATCATTATTTGATATCAAGAAAAAAAAAAATTTTTTTTTCAAAATTTCAGTACTTCCCCTCAGGTCTATAGATGAAGAGACATCGGCGTGACTAATGTTTTTTGGTCACGGTCACAACTGTGATGGTTATAATAGGAGGTGTAATGAAAATTTACTTCATACAGAAAGAAAATTTGTTACGATTAATTTGAAGTAATGATTCGTCTAAAAATTTTTAAAAATTGAAAGAGAAGAATAATATATATCAGGTTCGGGTTCACTTCAGTACCATTGGTTTTCATAAAAATAACCAACATTCTATTATTTTTCATTCATACAAATCATTTAACTGCTACCAAACACTTAATAGTATACCTCTCATATAGACTAAGGAAGTACCGAACGTGAAAGTTCAGGTAAAGGTTCAATCTTGAATGCTCTGATGAAATTAAAAAATAGTCGTAAGATATTCAGATTAAAAAATTATCGTGACCAAGGTCTAGTCACGGTGGTCACACCGATGCCTAATAAAGAGTGAAAAAATTTTGTTTTGGTTTTTGATACAGGTGTCTTTGCTATTTCAACCGGGATGGAGTTTTAATTTCTCAATGATGAAAACTTTCATAAATGAAGGATAGTAACAAGTATTCGAGATCATTTGTAAGCCACTTTTTGTGTTGAAGAGAAACTTTTTTTATTAAAAAAATTCAACTTGGCACCTTTTGATTTTAAAAAATGGCAGCAGATATACTACCGAAAGGCGAATCTTATCAATTGGTAAATTCAGATCTTTTTCATTCATGTTGATCCAATAAATAAATAATATTCAATATTTTAAATATCTGATTGCCTTCAGTTTTTGATGTTCTATATTTTTGAAAAGATATTTTATAATAAACTGCATACTATATTTTCGTTAAAACAAAATCTCAAACATAAAATTAAAAGTATTGTAATTATCACAGTGAGTATCTGTATTGAAATATTAATTTGGAATTGAACATTGATGTTTAAGCTGTTTGTTTTTTTATATTCAGAATTATACAGAAATATAGAGTCTAATCGTCTTCATTAGTCAGTATTTCTCTTCTAATATTATCTGATAAGAATTTTTTTTCTGTATTTAAAATATTACATTTGTGTAAACATAATTAACATAAGTAAATTCTGATTAATATTCTGAAAACAATATAAATATGAAGAGAATTAGTTGAAAGTATTTATATCCTATTGAAAGAAAAAATAATCTAAATAACAATTGCAGAATAGTTCGTGAGTAATTAACGAATACTTAAGATATAATCCAAAAGTAGTTGTGATGGTAATTTATTTCCATACTGAAAATTTTAGAAAATTTTCTCATTTGATTTAATAATACTAAAAACAATGTTCTATTTTTTTTTTGTAATATTTGATTGTTTTCGATGTGTATCCTTCCATTGCTCTTCTCGTTGTAGATTTGAGTTAGAGATGTCTAGGAAAAATAAAAGTTTATTGTTCTATATGAAAATAAGATGTTTCAGTATCCCAATAAATAATGCTCATCAAATAAAAATCTTTCTTATCACGATATGTTTGTATATTTAATGGAAAACATCGTCTTCGATTAACTATATTAAATATGAAAACCTATATCATATATAAATTATGTTTTTTAGGCAATTATTGCTTAATTTTTCCTATTTCTCTTTTAAGATAAAAAATTTTTAAATTTCTTGAAAAAAGTTTTCCTTGAATAAAAAAAAAAACGTTCTTTCAATAGTCTACAAGACTTAAACCAAATATAGTATAGTATGTATACATTTAACAAAATAATAAATGTTCGTTTATTGTTGACATTAATTCAGCTAAATATTTTTGGAAAACATAGACCTTTGTTTATAAATTTTGGATAAAACAATAATTAAAAATCTCAGAAATTCTACATCCAAAAATTTGAAATTTTATTTCCTACAACCCAGTCTTAACAAAATTTCACATTAAAATTCAAGTCCTCTCGAGAAATTTCAATAAAATTGTTAAATCTCTATCAACTCAAATCATAGAGGATATTTCTAATCTACAGATCTTCTATGTATAAAAACTAAATACTTTAGACTACTTCTAATAATTCCTTTATGAAATAAGTTTTTGAAGAATTGAAATATTAATGTATTCATATATAATAATCATTCTTCATTTTTATTTATTATCAATCATGTTCTTTTTCATCTGACTCTTTTCATGAAATAAAACAAAAAACGTACTGCAACAATTTTTGTCTCAAATCGAGACAATAACACAAGAACAAACAAAGAAAAAAAGAGAAACCACACACTTATAGACTTACACATAGACGACTAACTCTCTCTCTCTCACACATAAAACATACACATGTACAACGGAACAAAAAAAAAACTAACAAACACTTGTACCACTATGAAAATTTCAGTGGACTTTATATCAATCAACCAAGAGAAAGAATTATTTTAATAGGAGAAAATTATTATTTATATACATATATATGAGATATGCGGAAAAGAAACTAACACATTAATAATAACAAAACTAATATATATATCAGATCTACATTAAAGTATAGAGTCGAAGAAAATATTTCAATGGCACACACACACTAAAGAGTTCCTATAGAATCATTCGTACACAATTAGAATTTTAATCAAAAGCACTACCAAGTAATTGAGTATTACCAGGTGATTGATGTAATGGACAATAACGTAATGTATGTGCTAAATCACCAGTAGCACCACATTTTGGACATACATAAGCACGTAATATTGGACAAAGTATTGTACCAGCACCATTACGTAACATATGAGAACGATAAACTTCAAATGATTCACCATTTTCAAAACAAAATTTACATTTCATTTTAATACCTAACATAAAATATAAAGCACGAGCATCTGTTACTTGTTTAGTCATATCTAAAAAGAAAACAAAATAAAAAAAAATGAGATTTTTTGTTTTTTTTTCGACTTTTACCAATTTGTGCTCGTTTAGCAATAAATTTTTTATTTCCATTTAAATCATTTATATCATCTGGTTCAGAAAATATATTTGTCATAGAATTTGATGGTGGTGAATAATCAATTAAATTTGTTAAATCTGTAAATTGTTGATGTGAAAATGGACTGTTTATTGCTCGATTATTATTTTGTGATAAACAATGTCTAGAAAATAAATAATTTATTATAAAGATTTTCTCCACCGTCAAAATCTTCCTAAACCTCAGCGTTCAGAAGATCACAGCCTAAAATGGACCTCCGATCCGTACAAATGTTGTCTTCACTATACTTCAAGGTGTAGAATTGGTAATTGTTACTCTCTTTAATTTTCTGCGGAGTGGTGAAACTTCTAAATTCTTTCTCCTCATCCGAAGAAGCATCAAGTGCCCCAATAAAATAAAAAAAACAACAGTTATCTATAATGAATTATATTTTTAAAAAATTGATTCGACATTTTTTTTTTGTTAATCGAGCTAAAAACACAAACGTTATGTATCAATGGTAAGAGTTTATGACTAGAGCCCGTCAGACAGAGTTCTCGATGTGAGGGGACTGATCCTCGCATGAATTAAAAATCTGTTTTACTGTCTGACAAATTTTTAAATAGACGCTGTTCGGGGGATCTTCGCAAGCTACCCCCACCTCCTTGGCCCCGGTTTTGTTTTTGTGTATGGAACTTTTTCCAAGATTTGACTCATCCCTGAAGGAGAATAGGGGGATCTTTTCAAAGCTACTCCCGTTGGACCCGATCATGACTTTCTATGAAACACGGAAAATGGCGCGCTACCGCCCACTTCCCGATCACCAGTTTTTATGAAAAGTGTCAGCCCCCTCACCCCACTCTCAAAAACAATCGAGAGCCTTACCGTCGGGCTCTACTTATGACAACGTCTCGAACTGTGCTTATCACACGGCATAACTAATGATAGATGGCGTCGGTTATCATAATTACCGTAAATATTGTTTTAACTAGTTTCAGAATTTTTTTTAAAAGTCTTTGAGATTGAATAATATATTTATAAAGTAGATATCTAAAGTGACATGCTCGTTTCAGTAATCTCAAAAATCATCTATCGACTTTTTTTGAAGAAGGACGGAGGCCTTAAAACAAAATTCTTACCGTGTAAGAAAATTTCCATGATGACAATGTTGTTGTTCTTTATTATTATTATTACTATTAATAGCTAAACGAAGATATTGATTATTTAAATTAGATGAACTTGTACAAAGTAATGGTGATGTATCACCAAAATCTGAATCAAGTCCTGGTGATGATAAATAATCAAGTTCATTAAATAATCGAGCAGCAGCAGCAGCAGCAGCATTAGATGATGATGATGGTATTCCTCCACTTATACTAGCACCCATTGGTGGTGTTGCTAAAACTTTTTCCATTATACCACGTACAACATTAGCAGCAGCTAATGACATTGGTGCATTACTACCACTGCCACCAGTTGAACCTGATGATGAATTTGATACTGATGAACCAGTTGATGTTGTTGATAAACTAGTTAGATTATTATTAATCATTGATTGATAAGAACCTTAAATAAAGATACGAGTTTTTTTTATTTTCTTAATCATTTTGCACTTACTAATTGACATATTGAAAACGATTTTATGCTGCTAAATATTGGTATGTCCTCGATGGATATAAAAAAAACAACGAACTGAATTAAATTATTCTCGAAAGAAAATCATCGAACACGAGAGAAGAAGAGGAGAAAAAAAGGAGATTCACTATCACTCTCTCCCATAGTATACATATATAAAGACAATTAAACAAAAGATATATTGTCCACGTGTGAATCATTTTTCTAGATTGAATAGTCGGGAAAATATAGATAGAAGAAAATTTAATCGAGGGTTTGAAAATTGAATTTTTCAAACATAAAAAAAAACAAATCTTTAATTTGTTTGATAAGAAATTATTTAAATTGAAATATAAATCTTCTCATTCTCTTTTTTATTATTTATTTATTTAAAATTTAAAATAATATATTATATAATAAAAAAAAAAAGGAAAAAATTTTATTTGTCCATTTCATAATTTTGTCTGTTTACCATTGTTGAAGATATTCAGTTGACTAGAATGAAAATAAATAAATAAATATTTATTTATTATTTAAAATAACGTACAGAAAATCGATGATGAAGTTTTGCATGTTGAAAAGGTCGTTTTATTCTTGTTGCTAAAGGTGGCGGTCGACTAATAATTAATCGTATAGAAGAAAAACAAAAACATTATTATTTATAAAATACTTACGGATAAATATCTCGATTTCGTTTATATAAAGATTGATCACTATTAGTTAATTTAGTACGTTGCATAGGAGTACATGTACATCGTTCATGTTTATCATCTTTATGTGGTAGACGAACAGGGATATGTAAAACTGTATATTCAGATTGTTGAGGTTGTTTAACTGTTTCGTTTCGACTTTGAAGGGATTGACGTCGTTCAATGGCATTTTGACGACGTCGAGCTTCGTAGAATTGTGCTTCCATACTCATGGTTATTGTCTTTTGCTTTACTTTCAAATAAAACAAGATGACGAGAACACTGAGAACAACCAACATTTTTCTCTCTTTTTTTTGTTTTGTTTTTTAGTTTCTATTTTCTCTGGTCTCTTTAACTACAGGTGTTGTTGTACATTGCTTTGCAACCAAAAAAAAAATAAGATGTAGACATTTTGTCTCTATTGTCCTTGCCATTTGATTGTGTTCTCAAGTGTGGTTCGAACAGAAAAAAATTGTTTTTTTTTAATTTTACAAAAAAATAAAACACTGCGCTTGTGATTTAAGAAAACATTTTGTATTGATCAAAACTCTAGTAACAATTTTTAATGAGTTCTAAAAAAGTTAGTTGTTTTATACTAAGCTTTAGTAAATAGTCGTGGACAAATAGAACTTTCTCGTTTAATTTCAAAGGTGATTTAACATATCCTTTGACTTTTTTAAATATCATTTGACCTTCTAAAGTTTTATTTTATTTTTTCTTTTGGTTGAATAACCAACGTATAATGGGATTTTCAAGAAATTTTATTTTGTATTCCATTACTATATTTTCATACAAGTGAAATAAAATTCATCTATGTCAAACTGAAATTATAATAATATTGTTGGAAAAAAAAATGCTTATTAATTGATTCATTATAATAAAGAAAATTTTAATAATATTATACAAAATACTGATGAATTAACTTTGATTATAATAATTTATTTGTTTAGAACGTTTGATTTATATTTACATAGTTACAATTCGTAATAGACATAATAGCACCAATAATATGTAAAAATGAATAGTTTATTAATTATTTGTTGTTGAATTTATTATTAATTGTGATTTTAGATGTTTTAATTCTTGTTCAAGTTCTTTAATACGTTTTCGAATTAATAGTTTTTCATAATTTTCTTTCTTCAATCGTAAACCACCATTCGGAGAAATAAATGACATTTGTTGTTGTTGCTGTTGTTCTTGTTGTTGTTGTTGTTGTTCATTTATTTTTTTAATTTTTTCTTTTAATTGATAAGTTGTAGTTAATAATTTCGGAACATTAATAACATGCAAATCTAAACTATCACGCCGAGTTGTGTAATTATGAAGCCTATTATATGAAAAAATAATTAAAAATTATTATATGAAAGAGAAAAAAAAAAAAAAGAAAATTACAAACCGTTCTCCAACAGTTGTAAATGAATCATTGCTTTGCGAAGGATATGCTTTATTATAAACATCATTTGATGCATTCAATATGGCATATAAACGCTAGAAGAAGATGAAAAAATATAAAATTCTTATTTTTCTATTTTATTTACTTGAGAACAAAATAACCAACCAGGCCATTGTCGTCTTCGCCAATATGGTACAGCATACTTAAATATCAACCATTCTAATATAAGTATAATCAATCCAACTACCATACCACCTATTAATAACATAAATACACCAAAAAATCGATCAAGGGATAATTCTTGATTCTAAATAAAAAGAAAATGAAACGATTTTTTCTTAGAATGAAAAGAGATATGCGAGACCGAGACTGAAGCAACAATACTTGATCTCGCACATCTTTAATCAGGAATCACTTGAAATTTAAATCTAGGATTATTTCTAAGTCTTTGTTTTTTTTTTTTGTCAATAGTAGTTACCTCATCTAATAGTTTAGTTTCACAATTTTCATAGACATACCAATCATCATGAAGACGTTGAATAATACCTGAAAATTTTCTCTTTGTTTTTTTTTTTTAATTTATAACAAAAATTTTAATTCATTTTTTTTTATTTTACCTTTATCAACATAAGATAATAAAATATCTGTTATATTATCTTTCAAATCTGTTTGAAATTTAGAAAAACCTAATGATAAACCAAATGTACCAAAATTATCATCACTCATACGAATTAATTTAAATATATCACGTGTTAAATAATATCTTGCCATTGAATGATCCATAATAAGATATGTTATTATATGACTACGAAGTAAATCAATACCTTGACCATAAGATGATACATATTGTATATTACGATAAAGTGTATTTGTATGAAATCTTTTTACATATTCTTCATCACTTGTATTTGCAACAACACCCACAGTACATCGAGGCATATTACGACATATATCCTTAAAATTTAAGAAATAGACAACGAGAATTTTATATGATATCAGTTGAAATTTTTTAATTGAAAATGATTTTGAGACTGATATTAAACTCTAAATTTGAATTAACTCTTTATCATCTAATGACATGGACAATCACAAAAATACTATTTCAAAGAAAAAATTGAATCTTGTAATCTATAACTGATTCTATGTTCGTTATAAAGAACTCTACGAACAAAAAAAAAATATTGCTCTTTCTCCGATAAGCATGACTTACAAAACCAATAAGATTGGAAAAATAAAATTTTTCTTATAAGTCTTTTCTACTTGCAAACAAAATACATCTCGAAGATACTTTATGTGATATATATCGATAAAAATCTTTACTAGTGAATCAGATGCGCGTTTCATAGGTTGCCAGAAAAGACTTGATAAACGATTGAATAGACCCTTTGACGACTATCGAATGGTAAGAGAAAATCATGCATAAATTTTTTTGTAAATCTTATCATACTAGCGATCGAACAAAATATTTATCGTGAAGAAAATACTTTCATTGGTCATATTAGTGACTTAGAGTGTGCTGCAAAATTTTTTTTTTTCGTATTCTCTTCTTTTCTGTTATCATATTAATCATGAAATGTAATGTGTCTAGAAGTGTAAGCCAAAGGATCGAACGGTGGCGACGGGCAAAAATTTTTAATTTTTGAGAATTTCCAGTGGGTACTGATTCGATTTTGCAGGCTCTTCAGCGGTAACGGCAGTTATTAAGTTTAAAATTGAAGTATTCTTTCGAGAATAAGAAATTCCTGTTTATTTCAATATTTGTGATTAGAAATTCGACTAATGAAAAATAACAAAAAAAATGTTCGATCACATATGTTTGGATGTCAACGGCGGCGGCTTACACCTCTAAATGGGTCTTATCGTTCTATCCATATCATTAGTATATGGACGAGATCAATACTTTATTAGTGTGATAATTTTATCAGTGACTCTTCTGAACCCAGGAGAATCATTCCAACAATCGGATCCGATCGGATTCCTATCGGATTCGATCGGATTTTATTGGAATTTCTATAAATCCGACGAAATCCTATAGGAATCCGGGAGACGATCCTACTAACGGAACCTTAGTGTCTAGACATTATAGGATCCTACTATCGGATTCCGATAGTAATTCATCGTATAAATATGACTGGTCTCTAGTATTGGGTTAAAATGCTAATTAGCACGTAATTAAGAAAATAGGTTTCGCCCGTCAGATCCGTTAGTCGATCCCTTTCCCGGAATCCCATAGGATTTTGTCGGATAGTCGGATCCGATCAGATCCGATTGGATCCGGTATCGGATTCATTCACCTGGGAAACCACCATTGGGAGATAAAGAGTTAAACATTTCGGATAAATTTATTATAGCTTTCAATAAATTCGATCAGTGTTAGCATTTATCGGAAAATTCTGAGAAAATTATTAACTTTTGAATATTCATAGACTAAAATTATAGCCAATAAGATATTGGAAATAGTAATTTGAACCTCGTATTTCTCAGCTAGTTTGTGAACTATGTTGCTGCGTATATATGAGAGATTTATGAGATTGTCTTAGTTTTGAAACAAAAAATTTTCATGAGGTTTAACCCATTTAAATCCTTTATAAGTAAGATATTGTGTATTTAATAATCATTATCATAGATTTATTTCAAACTTACAACAATGTCCTGAATATTACTTGCAGTATTTGTTTGAGCATTGTCAACCATAAATGCAGCTAATTTAGCAGTATAAATAGCAATAAATACAATACCAAATCCACCCCATACCTAATTAAAAATAGAAGATTATTTTTCTTTTTCTCTTGACTTTTTTTTCTATAAAAAATTTACATTGCCTAAAAAACGATTTGACCAACATTTAGGAGATTTTGTTTTGAATGTATGTGAAAAAATAATTGACCAACCAAGTGTTAATGCTGATGCTAAACTAAATACTTTATGTCGACGACGACCTCTTGGTGTTAGACTAAAAAACAAAAATTTCATTTTAAAGAATAGGTTTTTTTTTGTCTAATTTTACCCATAAGGACTATGCCATTCAAAAAACATTTCAAATAAAGCAGTAGCATTTAATACTAAAAAAATCATACACCATGTTGTCCATGAAAATGGTTGTAAAAAAGTGCCTAATGATGGTCCAGTTGGTTTTGGTACAGTTAAAATAACATATGATGAATGATAAAATGGTGGACTTAAATCAATTGAACGTGCTAAAAATGATTCATATGAAATAGCTGATATAGATAAATCTGCTCGACCATTTTGTAATGTTTGTGTTAATGCTAACCATTTAGTTGGTTTATCCAAAAAAACAAATAATTTTGTTGTTTTTAATGTTGTAACTAATTTTGAATCTTCAATACGTAATAAAAGATTAATTGATATTCCATAACAACAATGTGGTGTTGTTGTCTTTTTTATATGAAAAAAACTTGAATCAATTGTAAAATTAATTAATAATGGATCAATTTGATAACAATGTATACCATAATTACAATGAAATTCAGATGAAATTTTATCATCTGACATAAATATATATGGTGGTTCAACAACACCAACAATAACTGGTTTTTGTAATGGTGTATGAATATGAACATATTGACAATCATTTTTTCCATCATTTGATAATTTACCAAACATTTGATAATAATTTTTTATATCAACAAGAGCATTTGATAATGATGATGATAATGATGTTATTGTACTTGAATTATCTTGATGAGTTGATGTTGAACTTTTACGTGATGATAAACTTATTGGACGACATGAACGAAATAATTGATCGGCATTATTACTTATTGAATAGTATATACGAGTAAGCATACCTTGACATGAATGTTCGGTATG